GCGCTCTTCAAAACCTGTTCGAGACTAATATCACAGTATATGATCAGTTTTCTGCCATAGTGATTTCTCAACAGCTACAATCCAATTTCTAGCGAAATGAGGTTATTAGAAATTTGATTGTATCAGAAAGATAGCTCAATATTTTACATTGAGCTTTTTATGGATTTTAACAAGCACGCTTTTAAGAGAGCACACTAGTGGAGGATAGGACGGCTTGGACAAAGGTAACGTAGAGATTTTTAAGGTAAGGTAGAGATTTCTGGCACACTAATTCCGTTTATTTGAAAAAACTATAATAGCTAGGGGGTTGATTTTACCGTCATTTTATGCAACTTGAAATTCTGCATCTATGCTGACCTCGACCGTTTTTTTTAAGACATTCAGCTTAATGTCTATTTTTTTGCGAATTGTGCGAAGGAAAAATAACTGTCAAGACAAAATTTGTAGAAGATGTTACGGTCTACACATTAGTAAAAAGGAATTGCTGAAAATGGGCTACAGTCGCTTAGAAAGTTGTTAAACTAAAGTAACGCTGTGACATTTTTAGTAACTGCGTGACATATTTTTCTTAAAGATAAATATTCGAATTTTTATTAATACAGAGATTGTCAAAAACAAGACTAATAATGCCCAAGTAGTTTGTTGGCTTCTTTTTTACAACAAACATCAAATTCTGATGTGTTCTGGTCCATCTGACCACGTTTACGATTCACACACCACGATAGCACGTCATGTGCTATAAGTTCGCAATTATTTTTGCTGGAAGCAAAATTCGCTTGAAAACGTCGGCTATTTATAGTTTTTTTCTGCACAAATACCGAAGGTGATTGTGTTACGTAAGAAATGTACGTCATTTTTCAGACCTCACGTCACTGGTTAGCGCTAGTACTTAAAGTAAGAATATATCTGTATATATATATATATATGTCGGAGTTCAGATTAAAATCCAGTTGAGTTTAAAACTGAACTAGTTCAAATCGAAATTTTAATAAAAACTAGGTGAAATTGAAATTGAAATGTGAACTAGTTCGTTTGAAAAGCAGTTTCAAAATGAACTAGTACATTTCAGAATTTCGATTTCACCTAGGTCTAATCAAAATTTAGATCTGAACTGACAAAGCTGACTAGGTGGATTTGAAACTCAACTGGATCAATATTGCATTTCAAAACGAACTAGTTGTGTTTCAAACTGAACTAGGCGGTACTAAAATGCAGTGCCGTTCAGTAAAGTTAACTTATATCCTTCTTGTAGCAGCCTCTTTTCTTTTGATACTGAGAAGTTTAACAAAGCAAGAAAACAAAAACGAGCAAATATATGTTTTTAGCAGTTTTCACATTTTGTTGCTTTTCCTTCATGACATTTTGTACAACATTTATGATTATTTTTTTTGCATGGACACCGTTTTGTATTACAGGCACCAGCACATTTACATGTATCTGCCGATTTAAAATTGGTATAAATTTGACAAGCTTGTATAAAGGTTATCAGTGGCAATAAATCAGTATTTAGGGCGCGTAGTATAGCAAAATTCGCCGTTGTAAGATCAAGAAAAGTAGCTGATTCAAAAGTTTCTATGATAATACCAGTTTGTGTTGCTACAGTATACAATGTTTTACCGTTTTCAGTATTACATCGTACTACTTTACACGGCAATACTGTGGAGGAACTGTTTGTTCTATCAACATCAGAAATCTTTAAGCCAATTATATCGCCAATAACGCATGTCCTTTGACGTTTAGCTGAATTTGTAATATATTTCAGTAATTGTGACTGAGCATTAGAAAGATAAGACTTTTCACCTTCTTCTCGAATTTTCTTATGACGCTCATACACTGGACTACAAGCACTAAGATCACGGATAGCACTTGAGCTTGCACTAGCGGATGGCTCAAAACTGCTCGAATCTGCGTCATATTGAATGACTCTGTCCTTATCGGATGAGTCTGTTATCGAATTTAACCATGTAATCGGGTCATCATTGTTATTCATGTTCTCTTCAGCATCAACAAATGCATTTTGGTGTGAATTTTGTATTATATCATCAACTGGATAATTTATTACTGAATTATTATTATCATTATCTTCTTCATTATCAGATTTATTATGATTGTACAATAAGTCATCATTATCATTATCTGATTGTGAGACTGTTTTATCAAATTCTTCAAATAATGTTCCTGCATCTAGTGGCAAATTTTCTTCTAACATAATACCATTTTCAATATCAGATATAGCCGAATGAATTTTAAGAAAATTTTTACATCGATCGATAGGTAAGACTCAGCTCCACCCACCTACGAAATATCGCTTTTTTTTGGTAAAAAACACATGCACATCTTCCAGAATACTGAGAAAATTTTTTACCCTGATCATAATTACCCCAGGCGACTCTACAGAATGAACGCTCTAGAAGAAAATGAGAAGCCATCGCTGTAGATCCTGACAATTGTAAACTTTGTTCTCTGTTCTCTTTCTCTGTGTTTTACTATATATGTTCACTTTTTAACAGTTCATTTTATTCAAAAATATATTTCAACACAATTATTTTTTATGCTCAGGATACAACCTCAATATCATCAACCACTAAACATATATCTCGAGCAGATCCTGGAGTTTCACAATAATAAAATTTTAAAAAAAGTCAGTGCAATTTTTTAGAATCGTAAACGTGGTCAAATGGACCAGAATACATCAGAATTTGATGTTTGTTGTAAAAAAGAAGCCAACAAACTACTTGGGCATTATTAGTCTTGTTTTTGACAATCTCTGCAAGCCGAGGACAGGTCCGAAGCTTTTAAATGTTGTTCAAAAGTAGGGGAGGAAATGATCATGTCGTCAATGTACACGAGACAGCATTACCATTTCAGGCCATATTCTTCATCGTTCCAGCTCATCGAGTTTCATTGGAAAGCGGCCATCCCACATTTTAAGAAGTCATTTTTTCGTGAAAAGATTTAAAAATACTCATTGTTTGAAAATATTCATTTTTTCAAAATCAAAGAAGTCGGTATTTTGCCCGTAATTCTCAATTTGCTTGATCAGCACTCAAGCTTTGTGAAATAAAAACAGCATGTTTGTAATCAGGATCAAAAACTGAGTCAACTCATGTAGATTTCAAAAGTTCTAGTTTATTTTCAGTAGTGAGTAAAAATCTCGGTACTTTTACAACTTGAAAATTCGAATAATTTTTCCACTGAACAACATTCTTATTTTAAAAAAAATACATCTCTCTTCTCGCTGTTAGTACTGGGACAAATATTGCTCAATCGACATTCAATTATTCAACAGATGCCCGCGATCCGCCGTTGAATTTCGGTTTTGCCTGCGCCATATGATGATAACAATGATGGCTCCGATTAAACTCACCAAACCAGCCCCAATTGTTATGCCGTATATAGCATGTTTGTCGCCTATGTTGAACACACTTTTCGGCGTTGTTGTTGGATAATTATTGCCGTTATCATCACCACCAGTGGTGTCATTCATATCTGTTCTGTTCAAGCTGTCATAAGGAATAAAAGGTGGCAACACAATTGACGGTAATAATGTAAAATTATAACTGTAATAATCTTCAAATTTTAGACAAACATACAAAAGACAATCATCGTAAATGGTACCCATTACATACGAACTATAACCAACCGGACAGCTTGTGTCATTTTGAGTTTCAATATTTCCATATGAACATGAAAACATACCGCCAAAGTACGGTAAATCTTTGGTACTGATTGCTCGGTCGATCAAGCAAACTTTAATATCATCAGTAACTCTGACAACTGAAAAATCTTTCAGACATGTTTTATCGTTTGTTACCGGATTTACTTTTTGTGTTGTATATGAGCCACCATACGCATACATTTCATCTTTCAATAATGAGGTTTCATCGCTACTTGGATCAATACAAGTATATAATACAATTGTACGTTTACCCATTCGATCGAATACATCTTTACAACAGTTATCAAGCCAAAGAAATCCACACGATTGACATTTTTGTCGATAAATTTGAATTGAAACTGTTATATTATGCAATGTGTAAAGGGAAAAGCCGATGGGACACGTTTGAGTTTTTGTGTAAAAGTTCTTTACTGTATAGTATCCACATTGGCTAAAAGTAAAAAATGACAAAATATGGCTTTTACCAAGTTAAATGCTTACGGTCGATAATAATCATCTTCAACACATGTTCGAATAAAGCCACCAAATTTCGCATTCGTTTTGGCTGACAGACACGAATCGTCTGCAACATTTGCAATCCAATTGAATGATCGTGATTCGCGTGTCATACATCCACTAACAACATTCATTTCGACGTAGGTATTAACTGCATCATTCAACTGACGTCGAACACGCCATAATTCTAATTGACTCAATTCTGGTAATTGATCCGATCGAACAAAATAAGTCATATTTTCAATCATTCGACGAACAACAACTGGATTTTTTTCGATTGTTCCTTGCCAAGTATCTAATGACATACCTAAATTAAAACCAGTTCCACCTTTTGCATTAACAATTTTGTGCGTAATATTCCTCATATATACTTCTATCTGATCCTCTGTGTATTTTGAAGTGAAATTGTAGTTAGCTCAAGTTTTTTTATTACCTCATTAATCATCTAGTGCTATATTTTCCGTTGTGTTTCTACTGTTCCGTGATATAATAAATGAACAATTTATCAGTTTAAATGTCTTTAAAAATGAGGCTTCCGCTGCTGCTTTTTGTTGACGAACAATAGTTTCGGTTGAATTGAAATCGGATAATAGAAAAAAATCCTCTTCTACAATCGTACCACCCAATTGTATTCGACTTGTAAAATGTGTACCATATTTTCTGATAAACATTTGTGCTGCATAACTTGCTGATAATGGTTGATTTTGAGAATACTTTGCAATTTCTATCAGATCTTTTTTTACTCGATAATTTAACGGACAATTACTTGATAGTATAACATCGGCCACCAAAATACTCAACTCGTTTCGAATAGCAATTGTTCGCTCATGACTTTGTTGTTTTTTTATTTTTTGATAATTTGATTCGTATGATCCACCAAGTTTAAACTTTTCAAAGTTGAGACTTCCTTCCATCACATATTTAGATGCATAGTCAACTGATCGAGAGTCATACAAATCAACAATATCCGATTCAAGATCAATTTTACTTTGCCGAATGGGTAGCATCTCAATGCATGATTGAAACACATCTGAATCATTAAAATTTGAAACATCATAAACTGGATTCATTTCAAGAAGTCGCAGATGATCCCATCCATAACCCGGATAGATATCGAGTTTTAATGATTTCTCACCGTCAACAATACCAACAAGACTGTGAATCAGCAACAGGAGCAAACTGCAAGTGTAGTACTGCATATTTTACTTGTATTCTTGAAATACTAATCATAAGCATTTTTTTCCTTTCTTAAATAGTTTTTCATATTTTTTGGGCTTTTACAACTTCGGGTCTGTCCTGTCCTCCTCTAGTGTGTTATCTTAATTTGTTTATTGTTTTATCTATTGTATGTGTAAATAAAAACGTAGCACAGTCAAAATTATGCTTTAACAAGCCGAGGTTTTTTTGATATAATTTTGACTCATACTACGTTTTTATTTACACAAACAATAGATAAAACAATAAACAAATTAAGATAACACACTGGAGAAGGACAGGACAGACCCGAAGTTGTAAAAACCCAAAAGATATGAAAAACTATTTAAGAAAGGAAAAAAATGCTTATGATTAGTATTTCAAGACTACAAGTAAAATATGCAGTACTACACTTGCACTTTGCTCCTGTTGCTGATTCACAGTCTTGTTGGTATTCTTGATCGTGGGAAATCACTACCAGTCAATATCTTCTCTGTGTATGGATCAGTGATATAATAAAAAAACTTCAGCAAATTATAGTTTTCCTTTAAAATACACAGAGAATACAAAACACACCGTCAAAATACGGCAAATCGTTGTTACTGACTGCTCGTTCGATCAAGCAGACTTTAATATCATTAGTAACACTGGCAGCTGAGCTCTAGTATCTGAATTGATTAATATTTTCCATCTAGGCAGATCTCATTATTTATAGAAGAAGGCAGATCTCATTAGTTATAGAAGAAATATTATTAAAGTCACAAGCATCTTCTTCTTTCTCTCGTATGCCTTGAAACTCGAAATTTCTTTTTAACTGGTGGCCAGAGACTGGATACTGAGTACATTACTCAGTATTTTCGTACTTTTTTTTACTTAAAAATTGTAGGTACAAAGTATATGGTAGAAGTACAAGTAAATTTATTTATACTTTTCGAGTATACTTAATTAGTGATACTGAGTACAAATATACTCAAGTATTGGTACTAAGTAAAAATGTACTTGCATACAATTGCGAAACATTTGCCTTTCTGCTCTAGTTCCGATTATTTATGTATTTGTTATCTAACGAAATTTGTTTGTGGAGTTTAACCTGTAATCGCATATGCGATACTCCTAAGGAACTTTATTTCGTTTGGACATGATTTAAAAAGTCCTACATATATATACAGTTTGGCTTAATAATTGAATGAAATAATAATAAGATGAGTCGTAACAAAGGCATTAAAAGTTTATTGGGTAAGAAAAACTCAGTAAATGACAAGCATAATAACTTTTTCTTGATGTAGAATAAATTAGTTAAAAATAAGACAAAATCTTAATAAGATTTTGTTTTATTTTTTAATATAAGATTATCTTATATAAAAACCAACTGATATACATAATAAAAAATGGTCAACTAGTTCTTAATAAACTTTGATTAACTTTTAAAAATACCAGATCACAAAACAATTGTTCGCTCATATTGAATCATCGTGGCGATAAAATCAAACTAGCATAGGAGAATACACGCTCTACGGGAGCGGACGACGCTTGTACACTAAAGATACGTACGACTAATTTTTTCAAAAGATTTAATCGAGAAGCTAACCAATATTCAGAAAATGTGGTTCTTATCGGATCATTTTCGAAATTATTCGAATACGGATCAAAACTGTATGATAAATCTACACAGTATCCAGCGATCTCTATATATGGTTATACCTTAGTATGACTTTTCAGTATATTAGTGCATGATATTGTTATTTGAGTACAAATGTACTGAAGTATCGGTACTTAGTACTAGTGCACTGAAGTACCAGCACTTAGTACAAATGTACTTAAGTAATTGTACTTGAGTAAAAGTCCAAAGTACAATTTTTAAGTGACAAGTATTTTCACTTGTACTTGCTGTACTTGTACTCATCCAGTCTCTTCTGGTGGCATCCTTTACAAGAATGAAAGAAATAATAATGCTTGTACAAAATGTTTTACTTAGTGTGACAGATCTGATTGTGAAAGCTTTCTAACATCAAGTATAAATGAAGATTTAACCTGATGTTTTTGCCTCAACGTATCAAAAATATATTGTCAAACATTTCATTATTAGGCGCCAGTAAATTAGAACCGATCAGTCGTTGTACTGATGCAGAACAAAGTTTTAATAAAGAATGTCTGCTCTATTATTTGTGTATACAGTGCTTGATGTTATAAAGATAATATTTTGATGAATTCTGATAATTAACACATTGTCCATGTTCACAGTTGTTTGAATGACATTTTATTATTCGAGAGACTACTTCAGGGACAATCAAATCCACTACCAGTTTATTTACGGGTAAAAATGGAAATGGAATTTCCGAATACCAACTGGCACGGTATTTGATAGTTCTCTTTAACGTATGAAGAGCATAAGCATCAATACGAATAAATTATGTCACATTCATCAACTTTGAACGATCTGGATACAAAAGTTATACTTCATACCGTTCTTCACAATAAAACGTAGCATGAGTCAAAATTATGTCAAAAAAACCTCCGCTTGTTAAAGCATAATTTTGACTCATGCTACGTTTGTACTTCTACTAATGAACTCTAATGCCCGGATAGCTCTCAGTCGGTAGAGCGTGCAGCTTTTAACCTCAAGGTCCTGGATTCTAGCCCCCCCCGTTCGAGCGTCTTTTTTTTACTTTTAGATTTCTTTTCTTTCTTCCACTAGAAAAAAATTCGTATCGAGACACTCTCCAACAAGATCTTAGGTCAGATTGACAAAAGAGTCCAACAAGATTTTTTCCAATGATGCTGCCATTCTACTTCAAAAACCACATTCTACATGCCTTTTCTGTACGTCCTTCTAATGGATTATATTATATTATATATTTTTCTCTATACCCACGGAGGTTACCACAACGTTGAATATATTGCATGAAAGAGCAACTGCGGTAATGTAAATACTGGGATTATAAATGTGCGCGGTCTAAAAAAGGCACGGTCAAATGGAACGAATTCTTCAAATGAGTTGTTTCCAGGGGATCAAGAAAAGAAAATAGGAAACGCAGTCTTTTCATCGTTTTTATTTACTTATTTTACATCTTTTCACTGCTGGCGTAGGCATAGCGGTGGTTATTGTCATTTAGTAGTCCTTACCTTAGATGATCGAGAGGTCTGTATCTTTTCTTTATTTTCCCGTTTTCTATCATGGAATAAGAGTGTTTAACGAAGAGATTTAAATTATTTATTAACAACTAGTATCTGATCACCCACAAGTTTAAATGTTTTCTTTCATCTGATTGGCTTAGTTTTCTTGGTTGAAGTTCTCAAATTATAGTTTAGATATGATTTTGTACAGTATTTCAGAGCACATCTTTCAAAAAAACATTGAGCATCGGCAATAAATCCAAACCAAGTTATAAGCAAAATACTGACAGGCTCATTTATTCTGGCTCACCCGTTATTGATCATACGCATTTAAATCACGTCCCTAGAGTAAATGACTACTCTGTTAACTAGTAACGAAATTCTCTCCAGATATAATTTTTCTGTATCAACTGCTCACATTCAAAATGAATAAATCCAAAGTGAAGAATTAAGTACTACTAACTAATATCATAATTGAGATTTTTATAAAATCTCACTCAAAATGTTTTCACTGTACCTTCAAAAAACCTCGCTAAAAATCAGTTATTCAACAAAACAAGGTATACCGAAAGATTCAGCAAGAAATTTTGTACAATATGAGGGGTTTTTTAATGAGAGATAATGACTTTTTTAGATGAAATCCGAGCGAAAAAGAGTCTTTAAGAGCGATCATTTTCTCCTATTTTTTGGCCATCTTAATGACATCCAGTATTTCCTAGTTTTTCAGGTAAAAAAAGTAGCAAGTTTATTTGTAAGTTACACAATTTAATAGAGCGCGAAAATTCTGCATTTTTCGGCTATAAACTAATAATTTGAACTTTGGATTTTATACTGGCATAGTCAAAGCGTATTTTTGGTTCTAGAAACTCTGATGGACTTGGAAGTTTATGTATTAAAACCACTAGCATTTGAAATAAGTTAACTTCAAATAAACTCTTTTGTAAAGCATGAAATTCTTCACCATTTGATGTTAATAAAGCTATTTCAAATTTTTTTTGTACTCATTATGAACAATTAAAAAACAAGAGCAGTTTGCCCTTCAAAATTGTGTGGTACAGTTAACAAATGTGGAGGTTTTCTTGATAGAGTTACTGCGCCAAACATCAAAGACGAATATTAAAAATAAATTTGCACTTTTAAAGAGAATCAAATTGTCTATCGTTTGGTATATAAAGGAATTTTTTTGTGATTTGTGTGTTTTTAGCGAATTAAATTTGCTGTCGAACGGTAAAAAAATATACTTTGTGTGTTTTATACTGGCCGAGATATTTAAATTTTAAAATAAATTTATTTTTTATTAATATTTTATGATAAGCTTTTTATTCAAGAACTTTTCGGAAATATGTAGGGAGGTGTGCTGTTTCTAATTGTGTCATGTTCGAGTTATGCTGTTTCAAGTATGTTAAAACTGAAAAAATTTTTTCTTTCAACTGTAGACTGCTGTCGGTGCAAAACGAAGGATTATATTTTACTGGCTCGTTTTCTTGCTAATTTTTGATTTATTTCACCATCTGAGCTCATTTTCTGTCTCAACTTTCTCGAACTTAATGATCCAGACTTAGATATGTTTGATATTTGCTTTTTAACAAAAATGTTTTGGAAAAAATAATTTGTTTTAAATTTAAATTATAGGTGAAAACCATATAGCAAAACTTTAGCCCGAAAAGCACCACAGCTTGAGAAATAGTGCCCCTTTACGAAATTTAACCAAGTTAAAAGAGAAAACGAAGCATATTCTTAATTTAGACCCTTTCAATTGTCGGTAAGTAAACACATTTGTCAGCTTGGACCTATATACGTGGAGAAGTACAATTAGTTTTCAAACTAACTAATATTTTCTAGAGGTATGATAGAAGTAATGAGTTCCAATGTTTTCCAAGTTTCAACCACACTCAAACTTTGTAAATATCTTCATATGTCTCTGTTATACTTGTACAGACAGCACAAGTGTTCCTTGACCACACAAAATGTTTCCTGCAAAATCAGTTTTTCTGAGACCAGGAGCATTTATAAGAAAAACTAAACTACACTTAGAATCAGCGCACGAAACTGCATCTAATGATGTACAACTCGACTCTTTTTCCATACCAAAGACGAAAAATCTTGTGTTCTTCCCCTATACTTGAAAGGCGGTAAAAGATCTTTTTCTCAAAAAAAATCTCGCCGCCGTCCACGTCTTCGATTAAGACATTCAATGCATTAATAATACACCTTACACACCTTATGCTTTTTCACAGCTTCTGCAATTGCTTTTGCCCCATCAGCTGATATATTGTTGTTTTCCATATAAAGACCTGTTAATGTTTGGTTTCTTTTCAAGGCTTCTGCAATTGCTTTTGCCCCTGCATCTGATATATTGTTGCTCCTTATGTCAAGATCTGTTAATGTTCGGTTTGTTTTCAAGGCTTCTGCAATTGCTTTTGCCCCTGCATCTGATATATTGTTGTTGGACATGTAAAGACGTGTTAATGTTTGGTTTGTTTTCAAGGCTTCTGCAATTGCTTTTGCCCCCGTATATGATATATTCTTGCTGGCAACATTAAGAATTGTTGTGTTATTAGACCTTAATTTTTCTATAATTTTGTTCTCTTCGTTGGATAGGTTTGTCGGATATGCTTCCGATTCACTTGATGGTTTCAATTGGGTTCCAGCTGGTGGTGGCTTGGCCGGAGATAACGATGAGAATTGAAGCTTTGAATAACCTGAAGAGGAGCAAATGGAGCTTGAAGGCAGACATGCGGACTCTTTATTTCTCTAGCATGGATACTGTGTGAGTTTTGCAGATCATGCTTTACTGCCAACTTCACAATATAGTACTGGTCAAAGAACTATCGAGTATTTTGATGAACGCTTCTTGCGTGATGTATTACAGTTATGCTGATTGATTACGATACGGTAATAGGTGAACTTGCTAGCTGTTAAATCGAATTATCCCTCAGACAAAATAATCTGTGTCAAAATACTTTTAACATTCTAATATATGTGGAAAAATTGGTAAGGTCTGACTTAGCTTCACAAAAATAGCCTATTCATGTCCCGCAGACTCTTAAATCTCTCTGTCGACAAAGGTAAGCTGGGTGTAATTATAAGTTACCATCTTTTGCTTGGTCGCGGAGATCTTCGTGTACTCTGATCTTTTGAATCCAAGAAGATTGTTGTTTATCCTCTTCGACGCGGAAGTTCGATGGTTCGATAAGTTCATCTTTTAATTCTTTTAACTCATTCATCCACTTGCTGAGATCTCGTTCATCATAATCTTCATCGTCTCTACCTTTACGAACTCTATTCGTTATTTTGAGAAATCTATCAGTGAGCTGGTCCTTATTCTTATCTAGTAATTTAACAAGGTCAGTCCGACATTGACCAGCCAGATGATTAATTTTGTCGATAGAATCGTTCTTCCATTTATCAACTTGCTTCAACAAACGATGAGAGTCATTTTCATATGGCGTTTCGAGCTGCTGTTTGAGCATATCGTGTTGATAAACAACATTGTCGAGTTCTTTTGACAAATCTTGACGATGATCATTGAAGCATCGTCGGCAGAACTTTTCTAAACAGCCATCGCATGTGAGTATACCAGAATTTTTCTCACATTTTGCACATTGAACTTTTGATGTATCTGCCATTTAAAACTTGAATAAAATACTTCTTCTTCGATTGGAAGACAAACTCACTCCGTTTGAGTCTCGAATTAATGTTAATAATAAAAGATCTTACTTAGTGAGAGGTAACAGCACAAAACCCTAAGCTTATGTTTGTAATCGATGTAATGTATATGAAAATTTTCTGCGCCACTCGCTCGTCAGTTTAAACTGAAAAACGTGTTCTCTGTAAGTTTTTATTGTAAAAAGGTAACTAATTAAACAAAAGCAAAAATTTTTTGTTGTTCTGCTGCGATGACCGTTGTCTTTCTAAAATAGAAGCAGCGGCACAATCATACTTTGTACACGTTTCTTTTCAAAATAATCAAAAGAAGAACGTAATAAAGACTTTTTTCTTTCCTATTTGTGGTATATAGGAGGCATATGCAGAAACGTGCGCCACCGTGCCGGTTCGCCGTCGCCGCCGCTGAAGGTGGAGAAAATTGTTGCGACTTTCAGCGCCGCCGCCATGCCGTTAAAGTATTGTTGTTTTTTTCGTTGTTTTGAGACGCTGCCTAGTTGTCCAAAGGGTTCGTTCTATATTTTCATTATTTTCATGATAGGACTGTAAAAGTTCCCGTAGCGTTGGTTTAACGCTAACTGAAAAGACAGTTATTTAACTTTGTGGTAACTAGTTTTTAAGTATGGTAGAAATATCCACGCAGCGGCTAGAAATGGCTTCCGCTAAGACTGTTAGCATGGTTTTCTTTGGCACACACGTGCCTGTCAACGAAACTAATCGAAATTATATAATTTCAATGTTTTGTAACTGCGGTTTTAACGTCTCTGGAGACCTCAGCATCTACAGCCAGCTTGAGAAATCTTTGTTGTTTCCATCAACGAAATTAGATTACAAAACCATGTCATTTGTGAAATTTTCAACAGTTTTAGTGGAAAAGTGGCGTTTTTGGTAGCCATTTATAGCCGCTGCGTGGATATTCCTTCAATACTTAAAAAATAGTTATCACAAAGTTAATTAACGGATAATTACCGTTGTTTCAACGGTAACTGGAAATGTAGTTACCATTAAAGTAACGGTAACTGTCTGTCAGCTACCGTTGTTTTAACGCTAACTGAAAAGACAGTAAGCGTAACTTTAATGGCAGCTGTTTTACTAGTTAGCGTTGTTGATAACGGCCAAAGAAGTAACGGAAACAGGAGGCCCTAAGTTAATTTTTTCCTTATTTTTGTAGCTTTGAGCTGACAATGAACATTTAGAGCTTTTCTTGTAAATTCTATAACTTTGCGTCGATAACCTATAGTCCACTAGGTTGCGTCTCAAAAGCGATTGGACAGTTGGTGACCTTCGGTCGTAAGGTCAGTCGATAGAGAATTAACTGCTCTACAAACCTGCTATTTGAATCTTTGATAGCGTTTTTTTTCTTTGAATACCATTCAGAATATTAAAGGGTGCGGCCTTATATTTACGAAATCCGTTATCAAGAACGGTAACTAGTAGAACAGTTGTCATTAAAGTTACGGTTACTGTCTTTTCAGTTAGCGTTAAATCAACGCAACGCGAACTTTTACAGTCCTACTATATATCATGAAAATATACATTTATATTTATTTGAAATAGAAGATGAACATAATAATGAAATTGATCTTTGTCAGATTACTTTATCATCAGACTTATCATATATATTTTATTAACTACAAAACGGCAACAACTTTATTCACGGTTAAAATTAACTATTCCCTAAGCAGTCGACTATCGTTTATGATGTAATAGTTTAAAAGGACATCGCCTATCAAGTAACTAAATCTGTAACCCTATGTTTTCATATTCTGAAGACACGGTCAGATAGAACTGACTCTGGCGAGCATGAATATTATATCAGAAATGTTCAGGAGCACTTAGAAAAAGAATTACGAGCCATTTATGAGTGAGATCATCAACCATCCAATCTCTTCAGTAAAACCATTGTTTTCTCAATAACTAAAAGATCTGTAGGGTCAGGGTTACTTTTAATAAAGTCAGAAAACATTTCTCGCAAACTAAAGTCATGTGGTGATACAATCGATCTTTTCGACCGACGTCTTTTTTGAATACTTCATCAAACAAACTGTTCAATATATTAACGCCATCAGTTTGAATAAACGTTAGTAATAGACTGACCCGATTTACCCCGGCTCAGCCATTAGCACAATAGTGGAACACTTTTCGACAGTGATCTGGGTTATGCCGTGTACTATATATGAGCATATAAAGTTGTATATTGTTCTAACAGAGTTTTTAATACTCTTTGTAATGCTCATAAAAATAGACATTGGGAGTTTGAATGAACATTAGTAATAAATTCCTTGTGCGAGCTGTTTTCGGATTTTTTGTAACGAAAGTAAGAAAGAAAAGCCAGTTAGCCAGTAAATAAGTCAAGCTAATCTCGTCTTGTTTCACAAGTCAACAGAAAAAAACAAAGTGTCATCATGTTGAACTTTTTATGGATTAATTTCCCTCACCTACTTTGGTTTTCGCGCAAAGTCCACGTCTTTCACCATACATTGTGTGGTTTTAACGGGTAAAGGAGCACCTGATTTCAAGTAACAATAGGATGTCTGATCATGCATAACAAATGACCAGGATTTACAGACACGATCGTTGTCACAAGCTGCTTGACATTCTGAAGGTTTAGCGATATTTGACACGTTAGCATAATCCCAGCCGGGTATATCCCAGTTTTCCATGTAAGTGATATTTGATCGAGTCAATAAACCAATATTTGTCCGTTCAGTACCATCAGTTGTGCTTAAAATGCTAATGCCAAAATCTAATGTCTAAAATGAGATATTAGCGTAAACAATGAAATGACTAGACGAAGATTCTCAGACGTGCGCGTACGCTTTTTATTATCAGAGGTGTGTGTATCACTTCTTAGCATTATTACTAGAGCATCGTAGTTTCACGCAGAGTTCGAACCGGCCAGTCTGCGCCCGTTTGTCCTTCAACCTTTCAATCGGTCGGTCCAGTAAGGGGCGATTGTTTTGCCACAAGATTCCGCGTGGTCGATTACCTATGTTTCCATTTATTTTCGGCATTACCACATCTAAAGAAATATTTATTCAGGGACTCCCAGGAAATCCGATACTACGCCTGACCGGAAAAAAATAAGGGTTTGCTTAGTGTGCGTTTTGCAGAGGACACTTTCGACTATCTATCTATGAAGAAAGATCGACCTATTTCAATGCCAGTTCTCAGAGATCCAAACTGGTTTTCCAAAGATCTGCTCGAAATCCGATCTTTGAATCTTTTTCAAAAATCATTTTTGCTTGTGGAAACGTGCGTACAGGTTTTGACTTTTGAATAGTGAAAAGCACAGGTCTCTATCTATCTTTTATCAAAAGTTAGTCAAAACGCAACCGCCTGTCTTGTATTTTGGAACGGATAGTAGTAAAATCAATAAAAATGATTCATGTTCTTAAAACTACTAATGTTTGTTCATTCTTCTTTCGTGTAGGCTTACTTAACGAGTCGCTTGTTCGTCAAGGAAAAGGATTTGAAAGTTTGATGATTTTTAAAAAACCTCCACTATATGCATTTCTCTACTACTTTACTTATTACATCAACAGATCATAAATAGAAAGACTTTTTTCATGATTCTCGCATTTTTCTTCAATATAGATTCAACCCTTTACTCGCCTATAGGAAATATTTCTTATGTTTTTATGAGCATTACAAAGGGTATTAAAAACTCTGTTAGAACAATATAGAACTTTATTATTACTCATATAGAGTACAACGACATAATCCAGGTCACTACCGAAAACTTTTCTACCATTTTACTAATGGCTGAGCCGGGGTAAATCGGGTCATTTGACACCGATCGACTAGAAATTGATCAGAACTAATTAACTCCAATAAATTTTAGCATAATTTTTACACCAGTCGTTAGACAAGTGTCAGATCTATCGGACTATACAAAACTATCTTTGCCTCTTTAAAAATGACAAATATCAAAAGTGAAAAGAGAATTGTATACGCAGATTACGTAAATCCATCAAAACATAGTTTTCTACTTCCTATAATTTACTATTCTATCACTTACAAGCGTTGATCACTCTGCACTGTCGTGACTCTGAGACAACGCATTGATTTTTAGTTTTGTGGTGAGTGATAGAACTAAAATTTTCTCGCCTTCCAAAGGTGCTGTTTTTCATTATTAAATTTTACTTCAGCAGACTATGATCCTGATTAAATGTATTTGATATAGTAAACAAACGTACATCAGACGGTCGACGTTATGCTCCCGATCCAGGTATGGGCGAGTCCGAGTCCGGACTGAAAGATTTTTTTATGGATCGAGATATGAAGGAAGCAAAAAATAAAAACTAACCAACCAGTAAGTAATCAGTCTGTCTGCTATCAACACACAGTGGGCAACTAAGCGGACATTAGGCCAAAAAGTCGATTTTATCTATCTTGAAATACAAATAGTGCAAAATGTAGCTCTTGAAATTCTCTATCGAATGGTGTATAAACGTCTATTGTGAAAC